GGAGGGAGCGACCGCACCGCAGTGAGGCTCCGGTTTATGCATCGGGGGACCGGGTCTGGCTCTCGACCCGAAACCTGCTCCTTCACCTGCCCTGCCGGAAGCTGGGTCGGCAGTTTGTGGGGCCCTTTAAAGTCCTGAGGAGGTTGAACAAGGTTTGTTATATGTTACAGCTCCCCCCTGATTACCGTATTAACCCCTCGTTCCATGTGTCTCTCCTCAGGCCGGTGGTAGCTGGTCCGCTCCAGGAGTCCGAGGTGCAGGAGGTTCCTCCGCCCCCATTGGACATTGAGGAGGCACCGGCGTACTCGGTCCGTTTCATCATGGATTCGAGGCGTCGGGTTGGAGGCCTGCAGTATCTCGTGGAGTGGGAGGGGTACGGTCCGGAGGAACGGAGCTGGGTTCCCAGGAGGGACATCCTCGATCCCTCCTTGTTAAGGGAGTTCCATCGTCGTCATCCGACTCGCCCTGCTCCGCGTCCTCCTGGCCGTCCCCGAGGCCGGAGTCGACGCAGGGGGTACTGTCACGGATACGGCCGAGGCTGCCCCTCCTCCTCGCTCTGGCAGGCTTCGGCGGTAGTCGTCACCGGAGTACTAGCTGCCACCGATCGCTGTTTCTGTGTCTCACTAGTTCTGTCTTTATTTTTCACACCTGTTACTCATTAGGCTTATTAGTTTCCCTATATTACCTCTGTTTTCCCTCCTGGGTGTGTGCGTGATTGTTCTTTGTTACGTCGTCTGTTGAGCTGTTGTTTTGCTCTTCCCTGCGTGGAGGGTTCGCTATGGTTTACTTTGAGTCTAGTAAAGCCATTTATCTCTCAGTTCTGTGTCCTACGCCTGATTCCGTTTCCCCACTTCACCCAGACGCTGACACAGGGGTACTAACAGTACTTGGTCTTACCACAGGGGGTTCTTGAGAAGACTCCTGAGACCATAGGCTTACTGGTCAAATGCACATGAGGGGGTACTTCAAGGGTATCTGGACTGAACAAAATTCAGTTGGTGGTACAGTAACGGAAAAAGGTTGGGAACCACTGCCCTACATGGTACACTACTTTTGACCAGCGCCCTATGGGCCCTGGTCAAAAGTAGTGCACTATATAGCGAATAGGGTGCCAATTGGGACGCTACCATAGATAGAAGGCAGAGAGAAAGGTGTTCCTTACCCGAGACACCTCTGCCAGATGGGTGTTCATGTCCTGGTCGCTGACTGATACCATCTTTCTGATGCCCTTGTAGTAACTAGACACAGAAAGACAGAGATAATCACTATACATTACATATTGACAGGCCTCTGCCGACAATGTAACAGCATTGTAAGCAAGAATCAAAATAAATTGATCAGGTCATTGGGAACTGCTGACGATACGTACTCATCGACCATCTTCTTGTAGGTGGAGATCTCCTTTGCATAGAGTAGTTTGTTACTTGGAGAGTCCTGGTAGAGATAGGAGAGAATAAACAATATGATAATCATAATATGGTTCTCTTATCTCTTACCTCACAGAGGTAAACAACTCTCAATAGATTTTGACCTCCTCATCACCTGCCTCCTCCTCCCCCTCTCCAACTCCCTCTCCTCCTCATCCTTCTCCCTCCTCCTCCTCCTCCTCCTCCCTCCTCCTCCTCCGTCTCCCCCCTCCTCCTCCTCATCCTCCTCCACCTCCTCCTCCTCCTTCTCCCTCCCCCTACATCTCCTCCTCCGTCTCCCTCCTCCTCCTCCCTCCCCCTCCTCCTCCCTCCCCCTCCCTCTCCTCCTCCCTCCTCCTCCATCTCCTCCTCCTTCTCCCTCCTCCTTCTCCTCCCCCTCCCTCCATCTCCTCCTCCTCCATCTCCTCCTCCTCCTCCTCCTGGACTCACCCGGCTGAGTTTGTGCTCTGTCTTGGTGCAGGCGTCCATGAAGGTCTGAGCGATAACGGACAGCGAGGCGTCCACCACCTCTGTCACGTGGACGTCGAAGGTGAAGTGAGGGTTCTTCAGGATGTTCACCCAGAACCTCAGAGGCAAGCTGGTGGAGGAGAGAATAATTACTATCAACGATCTACTACAGTATGATCTCAGTCATACCAATTAATTCATTAATTTGTGATTGAATGTCATGTTTAGTATCACCAAGGTACTACTAGTGCTGCATGTACAGCACTAGTAGTACTTCTATTAGTGGTACATGTCAGGTTGACAACTCCTGACTGTTAACTTTCATATTTTCACCATTCAGTGGAACACATGCATCAGGCATGCCAAACTAATGGCAAAACTTTCCACTTTCGAATACTCGGTAGCTTCAAAACATAAGTAAACGAATAAGTCCATACAAATCCTCCAATAAGAGGTTGGTCCTGAATATCAAACAAGCCTAAAATAGGTTCGGAGTACTTCTCTCTGATTAGTTTAAAAGCTGGGCCGATTGAGACAGACTAACATATTAATTCATATTGGCTTGCAACACCTCCCGGGAGATTGAGAAAACAACGGCAAAAAAAACAACAATGTGATATAAGGGTACAATTAAATTAGCTGGGGACATAATTACCATGTTTGTTTGTCGTTATGGCTGATACACACATTCATATTTAATCCAAGAGGCCTCGGTTGGTTTGATAAACAAAACAAGCCCATGCCGACTGACTATGGTATAGCATAATTAAATGGCTCATCTCCCATCCTCTCACTCTCACATCGCCACGTCAATCACTGACATCTATATGCAACACGCTGTGTTGAATACTTGAGCTTTAACCAGATTTAAGTTAATTTATGTACTTAAATGCCAAGGGAGCACTCAGATTGAGAATGCAGAGGAGATAGAAGTACTTGTATATTTGCATTCCGTACACTGATTACTTAGTCAGTGTGTTTCTTAGAGAGTCATCTCAGGAAGTGGGTTTGTGTGTGTGTGTATGTACTTGCGTGTGCGTGTGTGCTTGCATATGAAGAAGTGTGTGTGGTTGTGTGTGTACCTGTTGGTCTTCCAGATGTGTATGGTCTCCTCATCCACGTTGTCATGTTTGAGCGCCTGCTCGTCCAGGAAGTCAAAGAAGTACTTGATGGCGGGCGGCACCACCTTCCCGGAACACAAAACGCTGCGGAAGAAGTCATCCACAAACTGTTGCAGCGTTCCCTGGAATAACAGACGCACCAACAGACACACAGTGTGAGGCAGGGTAGAGAGATGCCAAGTATCTCAGACCTGTGACCCAGACATAAACACACTGGGTCTATGAAGTGAGGTTGATGTTCGAAGACTGAATCTATCACATATTATCACATAGCCATCCTCAAATAGCTTTTCTTATGGAATGAATCTCAAAGATTCATTTCTTTACTGAATGAAATGTAAAGGCTCGCACATATCGCATCGAATGTGGATCTAACGTTTGTCTGCCAATCGTTCAGCGCACTGTGTTTCAGGGACTGCCAACATTTTGGCAAATTGGTTGGCAAATTACGGCCAGCACGTTTTTCAAAGGTGCTAAGTACTCTCGGCCAGCACTTTGTTCAAAGGTGCTAAGTACTCTCGGCCAGCACTTTGTTCAAAGGTGCTAAGTACTCTCGGCCAGCAAACGTTATTAGTGTGTCTGAGCCCTTACTATACTACAACATGGCAGGCCCACCTTGACAGAGAGCAGTCGTGTGAGATAGATCTCAGTGATGGCTTTGGTCATGGACTTGTCCTTCATGCCCCTCTTGGACTTCATCTCATCCAGCTCATCAGGTCGAACCAGATGGAACACCTTGTCATCCTCCAACAGGGCGTTTCCTAGTGGAGAGAGGAGACAAATTATACATCCAATTTTTTAAGTATTTTCAGTAACACATTTCTTAAAGCCTGCAGGTATAATGCATTATGATGTGGTTATAATGCATTGTGAGACTTGTCATAAGCATGTATGGCCCCTCATAATGTCTTATTGTCGTTTCCATGGTGAAGACTTACTCTCCTCTTGGTTATCCTGGTTCTGGTCGTAGTTCTGTTGAGTGTGAAGAACCATGGACAGGACTAGAGTAGCATTGTCTCGCACCTGAAACCCACACAAACACCCACACACACACACACAGGTCATCTGATTGGCAATGGGTCTCATGACCTAATTCAGAATCCATGCCATCTATTTTGGGGGGGGGCCTTTATTCGGCATTGTCTGTGGCATTCTTTCATTATTGATCCCGTAAATTAAAGTGTGGTATTGGGGTGGGGCTCTGTTGGAGCAGGGTGGTTGGGGTGGGGTTGATGCGGTATGGGATCAGCCCTCTACCTGTTTGTCTGTATAATCTTTAAAATGCTCAATAAAAAAACCTTGATCAAAAAAAAAATTGATTGAATTTGTAAAGAGCAGAATTAGGGCTTCTCTCTGTGACATCTAATGGATCAGTCTGTGGAGGAACATCACTCACATTGTAGTGGGCCAGGGTGTTGATGCGCCTCCACCTGCCCTCTTTCTGGGACGTCAGGTCCAGGTCTGACAGGATCTGCCCTGTGGAACCAGGACGCCACTCTGTGGCAGGGGCAATAACAGCAGCTCAGACCACCAGCCAACATGACTAACATTCAAATTCACACACACCATCACTTAATTTACTAGTAAATGGTGCCAATTGTTTTAGGCTTTCTGATGTTCATGTGTTCAAATGCAGTATCTTCACAACACATGGTTTGGAATACTGACTTTGTGTGTGTAAGTGTGTGTTCTCCACTCACCCAGAGTGACGCTGTCCACTTTGGGTCTCTGTGAGTAGGGCAGGTTCCTGTACACCGCCTCAATGATCTTCTCCTTCACCTGAGACACCGTGTCACAGTTCAACACCTTGACGGGCGTCACGTCCGGCCCCTCCCCGTGCACCAGCACCTGCAGAGTCTGAGAGGAGGAACAGAGCCAACACCGTGAGGTGAGCCCGCTGAGGCAGCGTTACAGTGGCAACTACTGTAGGCAGGTGGTACTCTTTGACACCTGACAGGCGCTGTCACCTCATCCTGGGCTGACTATTGAGCAACCAGCAGCAGGGGACTCACTCCCCTCACTCTGACCAGGTGACACAGATCAATCAATTCAGACTGAATCAAAACAACTGACCACTCGATAGGGAGACGATACATTATACAAAGGATTTATTTGTAATTGAAGACTGTGTAATTTTGTTTTGTCATTCTTCTTTAAAATAACCACAGGATGTGAGCTATCGCAACTGTAAATGTGTATCATTTGATATTGTCCTTGGAAAATGAATTACCACAGGGTTTCTTTATATAGAGAGACTTAAAGGAAAACAGCTGAGATTTAATTATCTGGCATTAGAAAAACGATACAGTTAAACACTTCTGACTAAGGTAGACTATACATATACAGTGAGTCAGAACTTGAATTGCGTCAGTGTAGGTAGGAACACTATAAAATTATAAAAAGGTATTGAATTGCTAGTGTAGGCGCAGTATAAAAAGATAAAAAGGGTTAATGGAAGCGACACATATAATTGAGATCAGGGCAGTCAGTGAAAAGTCTGAACAGACTCAGAAGAACTCAATAGCACAGTAGCAGCAGTTGTCAGGGCAGCGAGATGCCAGCGAGCTTGTGTGCTGGGGTAACCGTGGTAACGGGTTGATGTCACTCACCAGGACGCAGTACTCCACGTCGTCTCCAAGCAGGCCCGTGTCGTTCAGGGTGTACTTGGCCTTCTTCACTCTGGCATCAACTGGACCCTTCTCTGTCTGATGCTTGATGGCCCTGAACAGTTTGTACAGAGGTTCCCCTGCTGAGTCCTGACGACCACACACATAGACACAGTACAGTCAGAACACTCTGGCACTCTACTTTAACCATGGCCATGCTGTAGTTCAAATATATAGGCTATGAAAAGTCAACAAAATATTGCTTCTCGTAACTCAGGTAGGGTCTTTGAACACATGCACGCACATACACACCCTTACGAAAAGACAACATGAAATGTTCCAAAAACACATGTAAAGTTAATGTGATAACATGACAACATGTAAAGCAACATGTGATAACATGCAACTACACTTGAAAACATGATCACGTGAAGTGTTCCAAAAACACGTTTTCACATTGTTAAGCATATTTGAAAGGACAATTGGCACATTTTGAAAAATGTGCCAAACGTCCTTTCAAATAGGCTTTAACAATGTATGTGACATATCAAAAACATATTGAATCAAAGAGTGTAATATTATCACCTTGAGGAACTGGTAAAGACAGATGGACATCCAGTTACACAGCATCCTCTCTACAACTGTCTCTGACCTACAGAGGACAAAACAAAGGAGTGACTGACACATCTCACAATACTAATACAAAGGAACCTTAAGCATGAACTTCTGTAATACTCCTCTCCATTCACAGGGCCCATTGTTAGGCATTAGCACATCCAATTAACAGTCATGTGTGTATGGATGTTAGCACAATGGACTAATCAGCATAATGAGCCCCTCCATTGGGGATAATTAAACACATTTTACAGTAGAACGGCCAGTCGAACACTGCTGAGCACAGTTGACAGTTCACATTACACAACCACTGGTTCTGTTAGAATAGACAACTGAGCTTTGTTCAGGAACCTGTCTCTACTGTGGACTGAAGATAGCCTACAATACCAGAGTCACTTTAAGAGTGGGAGACATTGAAAAGACACGGGTTAGATAGAGTAATGGATTACAGGCAACATCCGCACCGAGCTAAAGACTAGAGCTGCCGCTTTCAAGGAGCGAGACACTAATCCGGACGCTTATAAGAAATCCTGTTATGCCCTCAGACGAACCATCAAACAGGCAAAGCGTCAATACTGGACTAACATTGAATCCTACTACACCAGCTCTAACGGTCGTCGGATGTGGCAGGGCTTGCAAACTATTACGGACTACAAAGGGAAACCCAGCCACGAGCTGCCCAGTGACGCGAGCCTACCAGATGGGCTAAATGCCTTTTATGCTCGCTTCGAGGCAAGCAACACAGAAGCATGCATGAGAGCACCAGCTGTTCCGGACGACTATGTGATCACGCTCTCCGTAGCCGATTTGAGCAAGACCTTAAAACAGGTCAATATTCACAAGGCCGAGGGACCAGACGGATTACCAGGGTGTGTACACAGAGCATCTGCGGACCAACTGGTAAGTGTCTTCACTGACATTTTCAACCTCTCCCTGACCAAGTCTGTAATACCTACATGTTTCAAGCAGACCACCATAGTCCCTGTGCCCAAGAACGCCAAGGTAACCTGCCTAAATGACTACCGCCCTGTAGCACTCACGTCGGTAGCCATGAAGTGCTTTGAAAGGCTGGTCATGGCTCACATCAACACCAGCATCCCGGAAAACCTAGACCCACTCCAATTCGCATACCATCCCAACAGATCCACAGATGACGCAAACTCAATTGCACTCCACACTGCCCTTTCCCACCTGGACAAAAGGAACACCTATGTGAGAATGCTATTCATTGACTACAGCTCAGCGTTCAACACCATAGTGCCCACAAAGCTCATCACTAAGCGAAGGACCCTGGGACTAAACACCTTCCTCTTCAACTGGATCCTGGACTTCCTAATGGGCCGCCCCCAGGTGATAAGGGTAGGCAACAACACATCTGCCACGCTGATCCTCAACACGGGGGCCCCTCAGGGGTGCGTGCTCAGTCTCCTCCTGTACTCCCTGTTCACCCACGACTGTGTGGCCAAGCACGACTCCAACTCCATCATTAAGTTTGCTGACGACCCAACAGTGGTAGGCCTGATCACCGACAATGATGAGACAGCCTATAGGGAGGTGGTCAGAGACCTGGCAGTGTGGTGCCAGGACAAAAACCTCTCCCTCAACGTGAGCAAGACAAAGCAGCTGATCGTGGACTACAGGAAAAGGAATGCCGAACACGCCCCCATTCACATCAACAGGGCTGTAGTGGAGCGGATCAAGAGGCTCAAGTTCCTTGGTGTCCACATTACCAACAAACTATCATGGTCCAAACACACCAACACAGTTGTGAAAAGGGCACGACAACGTCTATTACCCCTCAGGAGACTGAAAAGATTTGGCATGGGTCCTCAGATCCTCAAAAAGTTCTACAGCTGCACCATCGAGAGCATCCTAACCAATTGCATCACCGCCTGGTATGGCAACTGCTCGGCATCTGACCGTAAGGCGCTACAGAGGGTAGTGCGTACGGCCCAGTACATCACTGGGGCCAAGTTTCCTGCCATCCAGGACCTCTATACTAGGTGGTGTCAGAAGGCCCCCAAAAATTTCTAAGACTCCAGTCATCCGTCATAGACTGTTCTCTTTGCTACCGCACGGCAAGCGGTACCGGAGCACTAAGTCTAGGTCCAAAAGGCACCTTAACAGCTTCTACCCCCAAGCCATAAGACTGCTGAACAATGAATCATATGGCTAGCCGGACTATTTGCATTGACCCCCCCCCCCCTTTTCTTTTACACTGCTGCTACTCGCTGTTTATAATCTATGCATAGTCACTTTACCCCTATGTACATGTACAGTACCAGTCAAAAGTTTGGACACACCTACTCATTCAAGGGTTTTTCTTTATTTTTACTATTTTCTACATTGTAGAATAATAGTGAAGACATCAAAACTATGACATAACACATATGGAATCATGTAGTAACCAAAAAAGTGTTAAACAAATAAAAATATATTTTATATTTGAGATTCTTCAAAGTAGCCACCCTTTGCCTTGATGAGATGGATCTGGGTGTTTTACCCCACCCTCCTCACTCGGTTCAGGGCGGTGTTTGATCATCCCACGGAGGGAAAGGACGGAGGTGAGCGTCTCCTCCATCTACAACAGAGAGAGGAGTCCGCGTCCGAGTACGCTCTGAGCTTTCGCACGGTGGCGGCGTCTTCCGGCTGGAATGAGCGTGCTCTGCACACAGCCTTCAGGAGAGGCTTACGGAAGGACATTAAGACGAAACTCGCATGTCAGGACGACGAGATGGACCTTGATATCCTCATCACCACGTCCATCCGTCTTGACGACATGTTGAGAGAGAGACAGCGTTTCCAACACCTCCCGGAGCCTCGACACTCACCCCATCTGAGCTATGGAAGCCGCCCTGCTTCTGAGTCCTCACCCATGGAGGTGGGCAGCACCCCCTACACCACCACGGACCATAGATCTCCTGGCGGCTCCCTATCTAGGCGTTATGACTCCTGTCGCTGCTCCGTGAGTGTTACGTCATCTCCTATCACAAAACCATTGTTTTTAGTTCCCATAACGGTGACCGGTTATTCCTTCTCTACTCGCTGTTTATAATCTATGCATAGTCACTTTACCCCTATGTACATGTACAGTACCAGTCAAAAGTTTGGACACACCTACTCATTCAAGGGTTTTTCTTTATTTTTACTATTTTCTACATTGTAGAATAATAGTGAAGACATCAAAACTATGACATAACACATATGGAATCATGTAGTAACCAAAAAAGTGTTAAACAAATAAAAATATATTTTATATTTGAGATTCTTCAAAGTAGCCACCCTTTGCCTTGATGAGATGGATCTGGGTGTTTTACCCCACCCTCCTCACTCGGTTCAGGGCGGTGTTTGATCATCCCACGGAGGGAAAGGACGGAGGTGAGCGTCTCCTCCATCTACAACAGAGAGAGGAGTCCGCGTCCGAGTACGCTCTGAGCTTTCGCACGGTGGCGGCGTCTTCCGGCTGGAATGAGCGTGCTCTGCACACAGCCTTCAGGAGAGGCTTACGGAAGGACATTAAGACGAAACTCGCATGTCAGGACGACGAGATGGACCTTGATATCCTCATCACCACGTCCATCCGTCTTGACGACATGTTGAGAGAGAGACAGCGTTTCCAACACCTCCCGGAGCCTCGACACTCACCCCATCTGAGCTATGGAAGCCGCCCTGCTTCTGAGTCCTCACCCATGGAGGTGGGCAGCACCCCCTACACCACCACGGACCATAGATCTCCTGGCGGCTCCCTATCTAGGCGTTATGACTCCTGTCGCTGCTCCGTGAGTGTTACGTCATCTCCTATCACAAAACCATTGTTTTTAGTTCCCATAACGGTGACCGGTTATTCCTTCTCTTCCATTTCTACTGCAATGATATATTTCCGGATCAGCGGGGAACCTTATAGATAGGGAGCTGGTCTCTGAATGGGGGTTGCCCACATTGCCACTGCCATCTCCGCTACACGTCACCTCACTGGACAATAAACCCCTTGGACCAGGCACCATTACGCACGTCACTCTCCCCATCACCATCACCATTCCCACACTACCGGAGCACCACGAGGAGCTGTCATTCCACATTGTCACGTCACCCCTTCACCGGATCGTCTTGGGATTGCCCTGGCTCAGACTACACAACCCCACCATCAATTGGATCACAGCCTGGTCCACCTCATGCCGGAAGACCTGCCTGCCGGTGGTTTGTTGTTCCACGTCAGTGGCGAGTCCGGAGTCCGCCCTCCAGCCCAACATTCCACGTGAGTACGCAGATCTCTCCGATGTCTTCTCTTCATCAAAGGCTACGTGTCTCCCTCCTCACAGGCCCTGGGACGTCCGAGCTGTCCTACTCCGCCTCCGGGAACACAGCCTGTTGGTGAAGAGGGAGAAATGCGAATTCCACCAACAGGCCATCTCCTTCCTGGGATACAGGATCAGTCCTCAGGGGTTGTTCATGGAAGGAGTAAAGATGCCGTCAGGTCATGGCCAGTTCCCACCACCATCAAGGGCCTACAGAGCTTCCTGGGCTTCGCCAATTTCTACCGGCGTTTCATCAGGTCCATCAGCTCCATAGCCGCTCCGCTCACCTCTCTCCTTAAGGGTGGGCCTCAGAAACTGGCCTGGAACCCTGAGGCTGAAGCTGCCTTCAAGAGGCTGAAGGAGAGGTTCACCACAGCGCCCATCCTAAAACACCCAGATCCATCTCGTCCTTTCATTCTGGAGGTAGACGCATCGGAGGAGGGCGTGGGTGCGGTCCTCTCCCAGCGGCACAGTAAGCCAGAGAAAAGGTATCCCTGTGCCTTTTTCTCTAAAAAGCTTAACCCGCAGAGAGGAACTATGGAGTTGGAGACAGGGAGCTGTTGCCAGTGGTCCTCGCTCTGGAGGAATGGAGACACTGGCTGGAGAGCGCAGTCCATCCATTCCGGATTCTTACTGACCACCGGCCAGTGAAACGGATGAACTCGCGTCAAGCCAGATGGGCCCAATTTCTTACTCGCTTTCAATTCATTCTGTCCTACCGCCCAGGATCCCAGAATGTGAAAGCCGACGCGCTCTCCAGGATGCACCATACCGGAGAAAGGAAGGATCTGGGGGGTCCTATCCTGCCCTCGTCTCTCATCGTTGCACCTGTCGTTTGGGATGTGGACGAAGACATCCGCCTGGCGGCTCAGGAGGACACAGCGCCTGCCAACGCCCCTCCGGGGCGTGTGTATGTACGCAACAGTGTCCGTGACCGCCTGCTGATCCCAGTGCCTCAGTGACCTTGGTCACACCTGTCCATAGACTTTGTCACCGACCTTCCACGTTCTGACAGCTTCACCACAGTCATGGTGGTAGTATATCTGTTCTCCAAATCATGCCGTTTTTTGCCACTAACTGGTCTTCCTTCTGCTCTCCAGGTCGCTGAGGTCCTGTTCCAACAGGTCTTTCGACATTATGGACTTCCGGAGGACATCGTCTCGGACCGGGTATAGGCCTCAGTTGAATGGGCAGGTGGAGCGCATGAACCAGGAGCTGGGGAGGTTTCTTCGTTGCCACTGTCAGGACTGGCAGGGTGAGTGGGCGAGGTTTCTTCCCTGGGCAGAATATGTCCAGAACTCCCTCGTTCACTCCTCCACGGGGCTCATTCCCTTCCAGTGCGTCCTGGGGTACCAGCCGGCCCTGGCCCCTTGGACACCCAGCCAGATCGATGCGCCCACTGTCAACGACTGGTTCCACAGGGCCGGGAAGGTCTGGGACGCCGCCCATGTCCATCTCCAGAGGGCCATTCGTCGGCAGAAGGACCAAGCCGACCGCCACCGCAGTGAGGCCCTTGTATTCCAGCCTGGTGATCATGTCTGGCTGTCCACAAACCCCCCCCCTCTCCGCCTGCCCTGCAAGAAACTGAGCCCCCGGTTTGTGGGGCCGTTTAAGGTCCTCCGGAGGATAAATGAGGTATCATACCGGCTGTTCCTTCCCCCTCACTACCGTGTCTCACCCACTTTCATGTGTCTCTTCTCAGGCAGGTGGTTCCTGGTCCTCTGGCGGATGCCATCCCCCGGGGTATGCCCCCTCCGCCCCTGGACATTGATGGGAGTCCGGCGTATGCAGCGAGGGACCTGCTGGACTCCAGGTTCTGTTGAGAACGGCTCCATTACCTGGTGGACTGGGAGGGGTATGGTCCTGAGGAGAGGAGCTGGGTTCCGGCTGGGGACGTTCTGGATCCCAACCTAATTCGGGACTTCCACCGTCGCCGCCCTGACCGGCCCGCTCCTCGTCCTCGGGGTCGTCCTCCTGGCCGGCAACGTCCTGCGGCTGGAGCTGCGTGTCCGGGGGTACTGTCACGTCTCCTCCTGTTGCTCCCCTCCGGCACTCTGATTCGCCGGTCTACTGAGCCACCGGTCTGAGCACACCACCTCGGCAACACCGGAATGGAAACCCAACGCACCCTAATCACCTCCAGCGCACCTGCACCTCATCACCACCCCTATTTAGCCCTGGACTGTTCTGTATTGTGTTGTGTGTGTGTGATTGTTAAGCGTCGTGTCGTTTACTCTCTCTTTGTTATTCTCTTTCTCATGATTAAGTAAACCTTGACCTTGTTAATTCCTGCGTCTGCATCCTGCCTCTTCGTTTACTCAGTACTCATCACAGATGTCTTCACTATTATTCTACAATGTAGAAAACAGTAAAAATAAAGAAAAACCCTTGAATGAGTAGGTGTGTCCAAACTTTTGACTGGTACTGTACAAATTACCTCGACTAACATGTACCCCTACACATTGACTCGGTACCGGTACCCCCTGTATATAGCCTCGTAACTTTTTTACTTTAGTTTATTTAGTAAATATTTTCTATATTTTTCTTAAAACTGCCTTGTTGGTTAAGGGCTTGTAAGTAAGCATTTCACGGTAAGTTCTACACCTGTTGTATTTGATTTGATCTACGATAGGTAGAGCTACCAGAACTAAATCTATGATAGGTAGAGCTACCAGAACTAAATCTACGATAGGTAGAGCTACCAGAACTAAATCTACGATAGGTAGAGCTACCAGAACTAAATCTAAGATAGGTAGAGCTACCAGAACTAAATCTACGCTAGGTAGAGCTACCAGAACTAAATCTAAGATAGGTAGAGCTACCAGAACTAAATATACGATAGGTAGAGCTACCAGAACTAAATCTATGATAGGTAGAGCTACCAGAACTAGTTTGAGGAATGGTAGCTACTGTAAGTAACAGCAGTTGGTGGTCCTGACCTGCGCAGCATGAGTTTGGGGTTCTTGCTGTCGACGTAGTTCCCCATGAGCTCCAGCAGCAGGGTCCTCATGATGTCTGTGTAGTACTCCAGCTTCCCATGCAGAGCCACCGTCAGCAGGGATGCAAAGTACACCTTGGCCCGGGCGTTGAAGTCTGGACGTCCTTCCAAGGTCTTGATAAACTACACACAATGGAGTTTAATAGAAGATCCAGTTACATTTTTAGTCATTTAGCAGATGTTCTTATCCAGAGCGACTTACAGTAATGAGTGCATACATTTTCATACTAGTCCCCGGAGGGAATCGAACCCACAACCCATGCTCTACCAACTGAGCTACACATAAACTGTGGCTAAATCTTCAACTGCAAACAATGGAAGGGAGATCTCAATCTGAAATAGCCATCTCTCCATGTCTCCTTTACTTCATCTGCCCTAATATGAACGAATTGGACTGGTACAGGCATCAAACATATCCAACAGGCATCCAACACAGCTTTCACCTTTTCTCGGTTATAGATCAGTGCAGATTAAGGAAAGGAGACAAAAGAGCCAGCCATAGATGCACCATTACAAACACAGTTAAGTGGTCTGAAGGGGCCTTACATTGATGAGGAAGGTCTTGGAGTTGAGCAGGTTAGAGAACTGGTTGAGGGCCTGAGCCACGATTGCCTTCCGTGCCTCTGGGATGTCCAGCTTGCCCGTGATCATCACGTCGTTGGCCCCGTCCTTGGAGGGCAGAAAGAAGACGCGGTCTGTGTAGGTCTTATAGTCCAGGAAGGGGATTCGCCCCTCGCTCAGTTCATTGGTATGGTCCTCCATCTCTATCATCAGGTCTGGAAAGGGGAAAGGACAAACATCTGAGTACCTGGCACATGTTCTCATCCTGAGACTTTAAAGCAACACAAACATAAACTACAATATGAGTTATTTTTATATCACGTCACGATGAAGATACATAGATGTATGGATGTGTAGATTAAGTACTTAATATGAGGTATAATGAAGTGTAATGAAGACCCTTGGTGGCCTTAGACAGTTATGCTTGACAGCTGTGGTTATAATGTAGTACCTGTGAACTCTTTCTTGCAGCGGTCTCGTACACTCTCCTCTAGATTCTCCAGCTGGTGTTTCACCTTCTCATACTCTCTTTCAGCCTGCTGGCTCTTCCTCCTGTGCACACAACACAATCATTAACATGGGCAGAGCAATGAGCAGAGACAAAAGCCGACACCAACGTAAACACTAACTCATGTAACATTGTACATTTTTGTGTATTGTGCACCATTAGGCTGGCTTGGATTCCTTGACACCAAATGAAGTTGTCACCCACACATCCATGGAGAAAGGTGGTATGGTGTAACTGTCCTGTATGTTGGTCATGGAGAAAGGTGGTATGGTGTAACTGTCCTGTATTCTGGTTATCTAGCCTAAAGGTGGTATGGTGTAAGTGTCCTGTATTCTGGTTATCTAGCCTAAAGGTGGTATGGTGTAACTGTCCTGTATTCTGGGTATCTAGCATAAAGGTGTTATGGTGTAACTGTCCTGTATTCTGGCTATCTAGCCTAAGGGTGGTATGGTGTAACTGTCCTGTATTCTGGCTATCTAGCCTAAAGGTGGTACGGTGTAACTGTCCTGTATTCTGCTTCTCTAGCCTAAAGGTGGTACGGTGTAACTGTCCTGTATTCTGCTTCTCTAGCCTAAAGGTGGTATGGTGTAACGATCCTGTATTCTGGTTCTCTAGCCTAAAGGTGGTATGGTGTAACTGTCCTGTATTCTGGTTCTCTAGCCTACAGGTGGTATGGTGTAACTGTCCTGTATTCTGGTTATCTAGCCTAAAGGTGGTTTGGTGTAACAGTCCTGTATTCTGGTTCTCTAGCCTAAAGGTGGTATGGTGTAACTGTCCTGTATTCTGCTTCTCTAGCCTAAAGGTGGTATGGTGTAACTGTCCTGTATTCTGGTTCTCTAGCCTAAAGGTGGTATGGTGTAACTGTCCTGTATTCTGGTTCTCTAGCCTAAAGGTGGTATGGTGTAACTGTCCTGTATTCTGGTTCTCTAGCCTAAAGGTGGTATTGTGTAACTGTCCTGTATTCTGGTTCTCTAGCCTAAAGGTGGTATGGTGTAACTGTCCTGTATTCTGGTTCTCTAGCCTAAAGGTGGTATTGTGTAACTGTCCTGTATTCTGGTTCTCTAGCCTAAAGGTGGTACGGTGTAACTGTCCTGTATTCTGCTTCTCTAGCCTAAAGGTGGTATGGTGTAACGATCCTGTATTCTGGTTCTCTAGCCTAAAGGTGGTATGGTGTAACTGTCCTGTATTCTGGTTCTCTAGCCTACAGGTGGTATGGTGTAACTGTCCTGTATTCTGGTTATCTAGCCTAAAGGTGGTTTGGTGTAACAGTCCTGTATTCTGGTTCTCTAGCCTAAAGGTGGTATGGTGTAACTGTCCTGTATTCTGCTTCTCTAGCCTAAAGGTGGTATGGTGTAACTGTCCTGTATTCTGGTTCTCTAGCCTAAAGGTGGTATGGTGTAACTGTCCTGTATTCTGGTTCTCTAGCCTAAAGGTGGTATGGTGTAACTGTCCTGTATTCTGGTTCTCTAGCCTAAAGGTGGTATTGTGTAACTGTCCTGTATTCTGGTTCTCTAGCCTAAAGGTGGTATGGTGTAACTGTCCTGTATTCTGGTTCTCTAGCCTAAAGGTGGTATTGTGTAACTGTCCTGTATTCTGGTTCTCTAGCCTAAAGGTGGTATGGTGTAACTGTCCTGTATTCTGGTTCTCTAGCCTAAAGGTGGTATGGTGTAACTGTCCTGTATTCTGGTTCTCTAGCCTAAAGGTGGTATGGTGTAACTGTCCTGTATTCTGGTTCTCTAGCCTAAAGGTGGTATGGTGTAACTGTCCTGTATTGTGGTTCTCTAGCCTAAAGGTGGTATGGTGTAACTGTCCTGTATTCTGGTTCTCTAGCCTAAAGGTGGTATGGTGTAACTGTACTGTATTCTGGTTCTCTAACCTAAAGGTGGTATGGTGTAACTGTCCTGTATTCTGATTATCTAGCCTAAAGGTGTTATGGTGTAACTGTCCTGTATTCTGGTTCTCTAGCCTACCTGTAGCAGTAGACGGAGACGAGGATGATGAGCAGCATGGGGATGATGACAGCAGGGATGATGATGAAGAGAGGAACCTCATTATTGCTCTCGTAGTGCACAGAGCCCACCACCCACTCTCCATTCCCAAACTTAATCTGGAACACACACACAGGTGGTAGCAGAAGCGTTAATATTACCAACACTGTAGATAGGAGAATGCCTTCAAACCAATATTGGTAACTGTTAACATTAAGTTGCCCTGACAGACACCAAGTTACTCTGGATCTATTTTGGCAAGCAGAATTCAATTACCCATCTTTAGGAAACTGCAGATAAGTTAAAAGATAGCAAAGACAGATCCATGTATCTGTGTGGTCCAGTGTGTGTGAGTGTGTGTTGTGTGTATTCTCACCAGCAGGTCCAATGGGTCGGAGCTGGTGTCTCTGCGTCTGCGGTGGCGTTTGGAGCGGGCCTGGGGCTGGCTGGACGGGGGGTCCAGGAACAGCTTGTCATCCTGGAGGGCGTTGACATAGCACGGAACGTCCCCCACAAACGCCTGGGCCTCTTTGGCTGTCATGGCTTTTTCGAAGCCTCGGCCCTGGAGATGGAACATGGTAAGGAATTATTGGACGTACTGTAGGTAACAACATAACTATGAGTCAGGAGGAACCAGAAAAAACTCAAGGCCCTAGTTGTAGCCTATAACTCGGTCAGGAATACTCCTGGCCCTATCCATAACATAGTAAATGTATGGACCCTATCAGCCTCTAATACTGACAGTGACGACGATGATGGAGGTCTCGGTGATGATCTTCTTGGTGAGGGGGTCGAAGGCGGGGTCAGGGTGGTAGTCGAAGGGCTTGAGCTCCCTCCACCAGTTGTCCAGCTGGATGAAGGTGCTGAACACCTGGGTTTCAGAGGACCTGTTGACGGCCGGCGTCAGGAACTGGATTACTGTGTTGTTCTTACTCAGAGCCTCCTGGAGGTACTGGGGGAGGAGGAGGGGAGGAGGAGAGGAGGAGAGGAGGAAGAGGTCTTTAATAAGTCAGCTTTATCATCCACCAATTTGTGGGGCCCCAAGTCCCTGTAAGTCCCTGGCCCCAAGTCCCTGTAAGTCCCTGGCCCCAGGTGCCTGTAAGTTCCTGGCCCCAGGTCCCTGTAAGTCCCTGGCCCCAAGTCCCTGTAAGTCCCTGCCACCTAGGGAGATAGAGAGGAGCAGAGCTGCCTAACCACATAATCTGCTGGAACCTTAATTCCTGTATTAAATGTAGCCTCTAAATGAAATGAATAAAATCGCTGCTTATCCAAGGCATCAGGGGCAGGAGTCTGCATCTGCAAGGCCACTACAGCAGCTCTGGGTGCACTGTGTGACATTAAGTAAAACTGGATTGATTATTTCTGGATGAATCAGAGCTTTTTCTGCAGCAATCTTCCAGGTTAGTTTATGAGGAGTCCATAACAGTCCATATGTGGTTGAGATAAAGGGATGGTTTAGGCTTTTAGGTTTAGGGCTTAGAGACAGAGACAGAGACATAGACATAGACAGACAGACAGACAGACAGACAGACAGACAGACAGACAGACAGACAGACAGACAGAGCCCGAAAGAGAGAAACTGTATACTTTTGGGGGAAAGGTCTGATGTTATAGAGTTGGCAGCACAGTATGTCACAGTAATAGACAATATACACCACCAGCCAAAAGTTTGGACACACTGTCACGCCCTGGCTCTGGGGACTCTTAATTGTTGAGCCAGGGTGTGGATTTTCTATGTTTTGTTTGCTATGGTTTTCGTTCTAGATCGGTTAGATCTATGTTGGCCAGGGTGGTTCCCAATCAGAGGCAGCTGTAGCTCATTGTCTCTGATTGGGAACCATACTTAGGCAGCCTGTTTTCACTAGTCATTGTGGGATCTTGTTCCGAAAGGTTTGTGTTAACCTAGGACTTCACGTTTCGTTTGTTGTTTTGTTCGTGTGGTGTACTTCAATAAAAGATGTACGTTTATCACGCTGCGCCTTGGTCCGCTTCATCATCTATCGAAAATCGTGACAGAAGATCCCACCCCGACTGGATCAAGCAGCGTGAAGAGGAGAGAGGATGGACTTGGGAGGAGAGGAGAGAGAGTCTGGCGAGAGGCATGGAGGCCATGTTCACGGGGGAGAGACAAGCCCAAACATTTTTTAGGGGGGGTCTCACGCCGTGGACGACGAGGCAGCAGGAGGCCGCGATAGAGCGGTTCAGCTGGTTAGCAGAGGAGGCCGCCAGGTTACGGGGGCTATTGGTCATGAGGGAGAAGGAGAGTGTGGAGGCACGGCGAGAGGAACTGGTTAGGCAGCAGAGGGAGCGGAGGTTTATGAGGAAACCCAGTCCCACTCCTCGCACCAAGCAAGTGGTGTGTGTCACCAGTCCGGTCCGGCCCGTTCCTGATTCCCGCACAAGGCCAGTGGTGTGTGTTCCCAGTACGGTCAGGCCCATTCCTGCTCCCCGCACTAAGCCTGTGGTGCGCCTCGCCAGCCCGGTCCGGCCTGTTCCTGCTCCCCGCACCAAGCCAATGGTGCGCGTCGTCAGCCCGGTCTGGCCCGTTCCTGCTCCCCGCACCAAGCCAGTGGTGCGTGTCGTCAGCCCGGTCCGGCCCGTTCCTGCTCCCCGCACCAAGCCAGTGGTGCGTGTCGTCAGCCCGGTCCGGCCCGTTCCTGCTCCCCGCACCAAGCCAGTGGTGCGCGTCGCCAGCCCGGTCCGGCCCGTTCCTGCTCCCCGCACCAAGCCTGTGGTGCGCGTCGCCAGCCCGGTCCGGCCTGTTCCTGCTCCCCGCACCAAGCCAATGGTGCGCGTCGTCAGCCCGGTCCGGCCCGTTCCTGCTCCCCGCACCAAGCCAGTGGTGCGCGTCGTCAGCCCGGTCCGGCCCGTTCCTGCTCCCCGCACCAAGCCAGTGGTGCGCGTCGTCAGTCCGGCACGGTCTGTGCCTGTTCCACCGGTGCCTGGTCCGGCACCGGTCAGCTGCTCCACGCCGGAGCCAGAGCAATCCGCTCCACCGGTGTTCAGTCCAGTTCCGGCCAGCGGGACCAGACCAGGGACGCAACGGAGGGGTAGAGAGAGTGTGGTGGTCACGCCCGGAGCCGGATCCGCCTCCGAGGCGGAATGCCCACCCGGCCCCTACCCTCTTGTGTTTGGTTGGCGCGGTCGCAGTCCACGCCTTTGGGGGGGGGGGGGGGGTACTGTCACGCCCTGGCTCTGGGGACTCTTAATTGTTGAGCCAGGATGTGGATTTTCTATGTTTTGTTTGCTATGGTTTTCGTTCTAGATCGGTTAGATCTATGTTGGCCAGGGTGGTTCCCAATCAGAGGCAGCTGTAGCTCGTTGTCTCTGATTGGGAACCATACTTAGGCAGCCTGTTTCCACTAGTCATTGTGGGATCTTGTTCCGAAAGGTTTGTGTTAACCTAGGACTTCACGTTTCGTTTGTTGTTTTGTTCGTGTGGTGTACTTCAATAAAAGATGTACGTTTATCACGCTGCGCCTTGGTCCGCTTCATCATCTATCGACGATCGTGACACACACCTACTCATTCAAGGCTTTTTCTTTATTTTTACTATTTTTCACATTGTAGAATAATAGTGAAGACTTCAAAACTATGACATAACACATATGGAATCATATAGTAACCAAAAAAGTGTTAAACAAATCAAAATATATTTTATATTTGAGATTCTTCAAAGTAACAACCTTTTGCCTTGATGACAGCTTTGCACAAGCTTGGCATTCTCTCAACCAGCTTCATTGGGTAGTCACCTGGAATGCATTTCAACTAACAGGTGTGCCTTCTTAAAGTTAATTTGTGGAAGTTTTCTTTCCTTCTTAATGCCTTTGAGACAATTAGTTGTGTTGTGACAATGTAGGGGGGAATACAGAGGATATCCCTATTTGGTAAAAGACCAAGTCCATATTATGGCAAGAACAGCTCAGATAAGCAAAGAGAAACGACAGTCCATCATTAATTTATGACATTAAGGTTAATACGGAAAATGTCAAGAACTTTGAAAGTTTCTTCAAGTGCAGTCGCAAAAACCATCAAGCGCTATGATGAACCTGGCTCTCATGAGGACCGCCACAGGAATGGAAGACCCAGAGTTACCTCTGCTGCAGAGGATAAGTTCATTAGAGTTACCAGCCTCAGAAATTGCAGCCCAAATAAATGCTTCACAGAGTTCAACAGACACATCTCAACATCAACTGTTCAGAAGAGACTGTGTGAATCAGGCCTTCATGGTCAAATTGTTGCAACGAAACCACTATTAAAGGACACCGATAAGAAGAAGAGACTTGCTTGGGCCAAGAAACATGAGCAATGGACATTAAACCGGTGGAAATTTGACCTTTGGTCTTGAGTCCAAATTTTACATTTTTGGTTCCAACCGCCGTGTCTTTGTGAGAAGCGGTGTGGGTGAACGGACAATCTCTGAATGTGTATTTCCCACCGTAAAGCATGGAGGAGGAGGTGTTATGGTGTGGGGGAGCTTTGCTGGTGACACTCTCTGTGAATTATTTAGAATTCAAGACACACTTAACCAGCATGGCTACCACAGCATTCTGCAGTGATACGCCATCCCATCTGGTTTGGGCTTAGTGGGACTATCATTTGTTTTTCAACAGGACAATGACCCAACACACTTCCAGGCTGTGTAAGGGCTATTTTTCCAAGAAGGAGAGTGATGGAGTGCTGCATCAGATGACCTGGCCTCCACCATCCCCCGACCTCAACGAAATTGAGATGGTTTGGGATGAATCAGAAAAGCAGTCAACAAGTGCTCAGCATATGTGGGAACTCCTTCAAGACTGTTGGAAAAGCACTCCAGGTGAAGCTGGTTGAGAGAATGCCAAGAGTGTGCAAAGCTGTCATCAAAGCAAAGGGTGGCTATTTGAAGAATCTCAAATATAAAATATATTTTGATTTGTTTAACACTTTTTTGGTTACTACATGAGTCCATATGTGTTATTTCATAGTTTTGATGCCTTCACTATTATTCTACAATGTAGAAAATAGTAAAAAGAAAAACCCTTTAATGAGTAGGTGTGTCCAAACCTTTGACTGGTACTGTAAGTGCACCAGTCATTATATTTATTTGTTATATATTAATTTTTCTTATTTTTGTCACTGTTGTTTTCATATTTTGTATACAGTGCATTCGTAAATAATTTTTTACGTTACAGCCTTTATCTAAATGGATTAAATTAAATGTTTTCTTCCTCAATCTACACACAATACCCCATAGTGACAAAGCGAAAACAGGTTTTTAGAATTGTTTTAATGTCTTAAACATAAATAACATAAATACATTTACATTACATTTACGTCATTTAGCAGACGCTCTTATCCAGAGCGACTTACAGTTAGTTTTTATTTTTCATACTGGCCCCCCTTGGGAATCAAACCCACAACCCTGGCGTTGCAAACGCCATGCTCTACCAACTGAGCTACATCCCTGCCGGCCATTCCCTCCCCTACCCTGGACGACGCTGGGCCAATTGTGCGCCGCCCCATGGGTCTCCCGGTCGCGGCCGGCTACGACAGAGCCTGGATTCGAACCAGGATCTCTAGTGGCACAGCTAGCACTGCGATGCAGAGCCTTAGACCACTGCGCCACTCAGGAGCTGTAAATACCTTATTTACATAAGTATTCAGACCCTTCGCTATGAGACTCTAAATTGAGCTCAGGCGCATTCTGTTTCCATTGATCATCCTTGAGATGATTCTACAACTTGATTGGAGTCCACCTGTGGTAAATTCAATTAATTGGACATGATTTGGAAAGGCACACACCTGCCTATATAAGGTCCCACAGTTATTAACAGGGCATGTCAGAGCAAAAACCAAGCCATTAGGTCGAAGGAATTGTCCATAGAGCTCCGAGACAGGATTGTGTCGAGGCACAGATCTGGGGAAGGGTACCAAAATATTTCTGCAGCATTGAAGGTCCCCAAGAACACAGTGGCCTCCATCATTCTTAAATGGAAGACGTTTGGAACCACCAAGACTCTTCCTAGAGCTGGCCGCCCGGCCAAACTGAGCAATCGGGGGAGAAGGGCCTTGGTCAGGGAGGTGACCAAGAACCCAAAGGTCACTCTGACAGAGCTCCAGAGTTCCTCTGTGGAGATGGGAGAACCTTTCAGAAGGACAACCATCTCTGCAGCACACCAACA